AGATATCTAGCTTCTCCTGTTCCCTCATGTCTTCCTCTCCCTCCTTCTCTCCCCTTCTCTTTCTTCTAACTCCCTTTCCTCTCCCCCCGCCATGCTCCCAATTAGCTTAGGAGATCTTGTCCCTTCCCCCTTCTCCAGTTTATTCTTTTAAATTCATTTGACATTGCAACCACAGTTCTCCCTCCCAACCCTCTTCTCACCCCTTGCTTGCCTCCCCTGCAGCTTACCCCCAGTCCACTCCTCCTCCCTGGTAAGGGCTCCCATGAGGAGTCAACAATGTCTGACCAAACAGGTTGGTTCAGGGTCAAGTCTCTCTCCCATGAATTAAGGCTGGGAATGGAATCCCGCCCAAGAATGGGCTCCAACAAGCTGGCTCATGTACTAGGTTTGTATCTTGGTCCTAATGCCAGGAGCCCATCTGATAGTTCAAGCTTCAGAACTGTCTCCCACATATGTAGTGTCTAGTTCAGTCTCCTGGAGTCTCTACCGCTGTCTCCTCAAAACATTTTTGATGTTGATAGCAGTAGAAAACTTAGGGCATGTATAATATTTAATTATAGTTTTTTTAATCTTGGGAATTTTATACACATATCCAATGAAGTATGATTATATCCATCGTCATATCTCCCATTTAGCTCCACCCCTATAGCCACAAACATATCCCTCTCCCAATTTTTTGTAACTTTGGAAAACTTTGTTTTGCCAGAAATGGCCATACATACATACATACATACATACATACATACATATATACATACATGCATACACATACATACTGCATGCACATACATACATACATACATACTACATAATGCTACATACATACACATACATAAATACTACACATACATACATATATACATACATACATACATACATACATTGTGCAAATAGGAGGATCCTCCAAATCTGCTCCAGTAAGTACTGATAAACATTGGCTGTCACTGTATTTGTCTTCAATAAATACATCACTGTATACCTCTAGCCATTTATTTTTCTCTAGCTGGTTTCTTACATGCAGTATTGTCCCGTCTTCTATTTGTTTTGGAATAAATATCAAAATGTCAAATTCTGTACTTATAGGAAAAATTCCCAGCATCCATGTGGCTGCTCCCTGAGGCTCCTGATCCAAGGGATCCACAATATTCTTTGGTCTCTGTGAATATTGCATTCATGTTGTGTATACACATATATTGAGGCAAGACACCAAACATACATCATTATTTTTTAATTGCCGAAATTGACCCATTTCTCTTTACATGTTCTTCACCTCCATCAGAGATGTGTTAGTCTATTAAAAATTAAGCTGTAGATCTTGGTGATGCTAATTTCTGTAATGGTTTAGGCTTTATTTGATGGAGAAGTATAAGGAAGGGTAGAGGTAGCGGGAGCTTTTCTAATGGAGAAATTTCCCTTTAAACTTACTGCTACATGGACTCCATAGATTTCTTCCACTTTTCTCTCTTATCTTGTTGATACTGGCTATCACATTAAAGTCCTGTCTGGAGCGATATGTAACAGTTTTTGTTAATATCATATGCTTTGAAGTGTCATTGTATAATTCCTTCCAGTTTAGGATTTCCTTATAAGAAAAGAGGTAACAGAAAAAAATGTCTTATTCAGTAAATCCATATATTACATATACTTGTGCTGTGTTTTTTTTATTTTATTGGGGAAAGGCATGTTCCACAAGATCAATTTGTCTCTCACCCAAGGAACGTCTCCCTGTCATCTTTCTTGGTAATGTTTCTTAACAGTACCCACATAACCCTCTTTCTTAGTCGCTGCAATATATTGTTTTCCCAACTGGAAAGGTGTCTGCAGATGTTTGGAATCTTTCACTCCATTTCTAATTGCTTTGAAATGGACTGTTATTCTTCTGTGTCATGTTAGAACAGTTTCTCAGCATAGAGAGTGTTTTTATTTCTATTATTTTCTGTTCATTTCCATAGGTTTTGAG